TTTTTTTCTTTTGTGAGGGGTGGGGTGAGTACCAGTACTGAATATGATTATCTTAAAAAAACTCCTTGAAGCATATGTTAAATAACATGACAGGGTTTCAGGCTGTCCCGGGAGCGTTATGTTGTTTTTCATAGTGCCTGCCTTTGTGGGCTCTGTGAAGCTTAACTTTAATAGGAGTTTCCCGGTGGGATCTTTGTAACCCGCCGTCAGTGTGACATTTATGGCATATTCAGATTTTATATGAAATGCAATTTCAAGAATGCTCTTTCTCCGCAGAGCAGTGTATTTGAACGAATATCCATTTCTTCCTATGTTTGGGGTTCAGGCTTTTAAAACTGAATTTATTGGGTGACACTGGTTAATAAAATTATGTAGGTTTGAGGTGTACAATTCTATATAATACATCAACTGTATATTGTTTCGTGTGTTCACCAGCCCATGTTGGGTTTCAGACTTTTAAGTTCTTCTGAAATAATAACCCTTTGAAAGGAGCTTTTGCTGTGACTTCATTAAATTCGAATGCCTCTGTGTCTCCCCCAGGCTTCTGCACCAGGAGAGGTCAAATAGGTTGCTGGGTCTACCATCGAGGAGCGTGGGAAGGTGTTGCTGAGTTTCCAGACCTTTCCCAAGATGGAACCAATCACATTCACTGCGAGGAAGCATCCGTTCCCTAACGAGGCCTGGGTGGCCTTCAGCCTCCAGCTGGTGGGTTCCTTGCCTGTGCATTCCCTGACCACCATGCCCATGCTGCCCTGGGTTGTGGCAGAGGTGCGCTGGCTCAGTGGACAGTCCTCCAAAAAGGAACCCGGTACCAAGCAAGTCCGGCTTTGCGTCTCGCCCTCTGGACTGCGATGTGAACCGGAGCCAGAGAAGACTCAGCAGTGGGATCCGCTGATCTGTTCCAGCATCTTCGAGTGCAAGCCTCAGCACGCTCACAAACTGATCCACAACAGTCACGACCCGAGCTACTTCGCCTGTCTGATTAAGGACGATGCGGCCAGTAGGCGGAGTATCTGCTACGTGTTCAAAGCTGATGATCAAACAAAAGTAAGTGGAGGCGGGGATCAGAACGCTTAAGGTGTGGCAGGATGGCTTCTATTGTATGGGAGTCTAGACGTTTATTTTATGTATACCTGCATTCCAGGTGATGCTGCAGTTATATGCGTATTATTTCACTGGAGTATTGGTGTATGGGGATAGTTTATAGTATTGAAGAGCACTTTATATCAGATGTTAGAAATGATATGTTTATGAGGTAAAAAATGCAAAAGAGAAATCTGCTGAAACTTATCAATAAGAGCTGAACTTTTGGGATTGAGATCATTGAAGAAATGTGTTCTAAAGCCGCGCTACTCAAACAAAAATGTGCCCCGTGAATTGCCTGGGATCCTGGTAAAGGGCAAATGCTGGTTCAGTAGGTCCGTGGCAGCACCTGAGACTCTGCATTTCTTGCCTGTGGCCAAGTGATGATGAGCGGGCTGCTCTGCAGATTGGATTTGAGTAACAAAGTTCTAGATCAGTGAGCTCCCCATTTTTATGCTGTGAATAAAAATATATCCTATCTAATAAAAGGGTAATATGCAAATTAATCATCACTCTGTCACAAAGATGGCGGTGCCCATAGCCACAAGATGGTGGCGCCCAGTCCTCTCAGCCCCGTCAGAGTCCCCCAGTCCCTGGGGGGGGGGGTCTGCTGAGAGTGGGCAGCATGAGCGGCCTGGCGAAATGCTTGCTTTGTTGCCATGGCGACGAGGCAAGCGTTCCACTCTGGCCGCAGAGGCCCTCTGGGCAGCGGGCACGGAGTGGCCAGGGCGGGGGGAGGAACACTTGCATCGTTGCAGGCCAGGCTGAAGGACCCCCCTCCCCGTGCACAAATTTCATGCACTGGGCCTTTAGTCTACACTAATAAAAGAGAAAGATGCAAATTGACTGTACTTTTGTGAAGCTCACCAGCCAATCAGAAGTGAGTATGCAAATTAACACAACAAAAATGGTGGGTTAATTTGCATACACAGATGCCAAGTGGCTAGGCAGGGCGGGGCGGGACGCTCTGGGCCTCTGGGCAATGTGGGAAGGCAGAAAGGCAGCTCCGGCCAGAGCAAAGGCAATGCCGGCAGCCAGGGGAAGGAAGGCCCATTCTTGCACTAATCTTTGTGCATTGGGCCTCTAGTTTACTTATAAACTGTGTGAGAACATTATTAGCCAGTTTCCCAAGGCATGATGTGCACTTAGGCAAGGATCACAAGGATAGTGGATATGAATCTTAAGTTTTGATACTTTCAGAGTGGGTGTTTTGTTGTCGTTGTTTTGCTTTGATTTTTGTTTTTTGGCTAACTTCATGTCAGATCTGATTAGCTTGCTGTAGTTATATCTCATGGTGTGCCTGAGAAAAATGTTATATGAGAAATGGTAAGAACAGTCCCAGTTCTACTATTTTCCTGTTCATCTGTACTTCCATGGTTGTTGGCATGTTTTGCCATTCTGCGTGAGATTCGTTTCAAGCCCATCCTGTGGGGGTTATTTCAGAAAAAAATGAAAATATAATCCCTACAGCCACTTTCTCAGGTGGCCCAGGTCAGCTACAACTTGGTACAGACTCTGGAAAGCAAACAGGTGAGGGCCCCGGTGAACCGAGGAAAGCCGTGCGAGGACCCTGTGTGCTGTCTGCCATAGGCAACAGTGAGGGTGCCAGTCAATCCACATGGTAAATGTCAGTGAATAGAAACAGCACTGCTCAGGGGTTCTCCCTGCACCCCATTGGATGTTTTGCTTATTCTCCAGGACACACAGAACTCTGGGAAATTAATGTTTTTGGAGAGTAAGTAGATTTGTAGAAATTCACTTTTATTTGATCATTCCTTGGTTCTTTTACTCATTCATTCAGTGTTCGCTGCTCCAGGTGCCATGGGAGAGGATATTAGTGCAGGCTAGAAGGAAGGCACGTAAATGCCATGTGGCTGTGGAGTGATGGGGAAGACAGGGAATGGCGCCTAACACATTGGAGTGTAAGGAAGTCTTTCTGAAATAAAGTCTAATCTGGAGTTTAAGCCCACTATTTTCCCCATGAAAGCGGATCTCTTCTTATTGTAAATCATTTCATGTTACCATCCATGCGTCTCAAATTAGTAGGGTGGCATCCTGGTTCGGAGGTTTCTGGATTCCAGTTGTCCACCAAGAGTCAATGAATCAGGAGGCTTTGGCTAGAAATAAATGATGAAGATTTATTCAAGGTCTTAGGGCTTGCAAACCAGAAACACGACTAGGCAATACCTACAGTGTTCTGCAGAAGAAAGAAAAGTGAGGGCTCTTATGGTAAAAAGTATGTTCTTGAGAAGAATCAGTCCCGCATGCATCGCCTCTGCCTTGGTCTGTGATGCTAAGTCTTTAGAGGACTGGTGGTCTAGATACCGATGTTGGTATGCTTTCCTTAGACCTCCAGGGGGCGATCAGAGGGGCGTCTGGAGGTTTGTATATTCAGGCATTGACACAGGACTGAAAAGTTCAAAAGTTTTAGTTTCCAGGCTACTTAAAACAAGAGTAGCAGCTTAACTGGAGTGACTCCATTTTATTTCATCACTCCGCTCTTTAGTCCTGTCTGCCACCTATAAACTGCGTGGCCTCAGGCACTGAGCCCATTTCCTCATCTGTAAACCGGGGATAATTATAGTCTCTAGCTCATAGAGTTGCCGCAAGGATTAAATGAGTAGAACAGGACCTGAAACTTACTAAGCATGTGTGGCTCTAAAACAGTTTTCATCAAAGAGAGTTTTATTGGAAGCCAATTAGAGGCTAATTTAATTTCAAGTCCCCGGTCACAGAAAAAAGAGATCAAGATGAGTGTCTTCCGCTTTCAGGGTGAGATCCAGGTCATCTTTAAAAAATTAAGCAAGGTTTTATAAACTAGACACTTACAAAGCTGCATAAATAAACTTAATGGTTTCTGCTATTTGGGCAAATTCCAGAATGAAGATTAGAGGATTGAACAGCCTGTGCTCCAGGCCAGCTCTATGTAAAGACTGAGTTTCCTTGGGGAGAGTTTTTTTGCACAGAATAGTTGTTCAGCACTTTACACTTTTGACTTTTTCCCAAGATATTTTAGAGCCATCTAAGAATAGGCTTCTGGCCAGTCACTCAGACACCTGACAGGAAGAAGAGATTCATAACTCAATTTTGTAATTGAGGCTTCCAGTCTCGCCAAAAAGCAGAGAACTGACCTTACTCTACATATTCTAAAAAGCATGGTAGAAATATGAATTAGTTCTTTAAGTTATTTTTGGCTCATACACAAAGTTTTGCAAATACACATTGTCAGTACTTGCAGTAATAAATTGCTGTCATCCTGCTCATTTTATAAAAGGGTAATTTATAACATTTCAATCAGTGCTTCTGTTGTTGGAAACGGAATGCTACACCAAACTGGCCATGATTCTAACTGGTGCCATATTTCTTATGATCTTGGGCTATCCCTGACACGGTATCTCGTAACAGAGGATTATCTGGTGTAGAAGCATGTTCACCTGTGTCATCATTTCTCTGGACTATTTGTAACATTTGCTCAGTGAAATAGTTCTCTAGGTTAATACCTCTTTTAAATGGGTGAGGTCAGCATCAACTGTGTTTGCCAGAGGAGATATGTGCATCAACTGCCAGGGTCATGAGCACAAAACTATGGTTTGAGAGGAAACTCATGGATTAGACTATAAATTAATTTACTGAGGAATGTCTAGGGAGAAGAGGCACATGAATACTTTCATAAGCACAGCATGAGATTGTGTTTCCTACTGTATGTTCCATAGGACGTACTCAAGGTGTTCTCCAGAGAAAGGCTTCCATGATCAAAATGCATTGGGGCAGCATCTCAGACTTTTTCATCTGAGGACCTCTTTCTACTCTTAGAAATTATTGAGGATCCCAAAAAGCATTAGTTTATGTGGGTTACATCTATTAATAATACCATTTTAGACATTAGAACTGAGAAATTATACAGGTATTAATTCATTTAAAATTTACTTAATTATTTAATTAAATTTTTATTTTAACTATTATATGTAGTTAAGAATTTATTTAATTATCTGACTATTAAAATTATTTAAAAATAAACTTTTTACATGCTAGCATGAATACTACTTTTGTGAAAAACAAAACAAAAACAAAACCGTATTTTCCAAAACAATTTAGTGATGGGAGGCATTGTTTTGTTGGCAGTGATAATGGCACCAGGTGTTAGGCTGGTGGAGTCAGACACGATTTTGGTTCAGCACCTTGGTATCTGGTTAAGAAAGAATTCAGAGTCAAGACTCAAACCATAAGAGACAGTTTATTTAGAAAGTCACAGAGGTAGAGAAGTGGGTCATAAAAGAAATGGGCTTAGGAAACAAGTTACAGAAGCAAAGAAGGGACCCTTGGAGCTTAGGAAAGAGAAGGGTAAAGGTAACACGTTTGGGGGCAACGGGAGGGGCAGGAAAGGCTCTGGCGTACTCCAAAGAGGAAGAGTGCACAGGGTTCTCTGTCCTAGGGCTTCTAAGCGGGGGTGGTGGGGCTGGGGGTGTGGGGGGGATCTTAGAGGAGGTTTCAGGGGAGGATCTTAATCCAATATTCATCTGGTTTAGAGGTGTGTCCTTTCAGGTTCATGGTGTCCACTGATTGGTCGGTCCCAGGGCAGGGAGTCCTTGGTCAATGTAGCTGGTCCTGATGTCTGCCATGGCATTGCTAATCTGGTTTTGCTGCTTGTCTGGGCCTGGAGCTGAAACACAACTGAGGCCTAGATGTTATCTCCAGGGGTTAATGCTTCAGGAAGTGGTTGTCCAAGGTCCACTCTTTGGCCCCTTTTTTCTCCTCCAAGGGGGTCTACCACATGACTAGCAACATGCCAGAGGAGGAAAGGTCAGGGAGGATCTGAACTGCATGACCAGTGATAGGCTAGGGGAGGAAAGATTACCCTGGGGCAAGGTATTTATTTTCCCAGTTGCTAGGTACCCAGGATTTTCTGTCCTGGTGACCTGTACCTGGCCTATCATCCTTGTGTTGCCGGTGGAAATAGGATTCTT